TCCAGACTGCCTTGAACTCTGGCCAGTCTTTCCTAAGTCCAGAGAATGTGGGTAGGGCCACCCTTTTTAGCCGAATGGTGGAATCTTGGTGGGAAGGTCTTGTATTAATCAACGGGACTGTGGGTTGATGTCCAGATAAGGTTGTATATATAGGACTGGTTGACAAATTGCTCCTGGTCTGATTGTGGTTGCTATAATAGCTGGATGCCACTCTTGGCAGATTTGATCTCATTGGCATTGCAAATGCAGGGAAACCTGTTGATAAATTTGTAGGATTCTGACATTGCTGAGACAAATGCGTTTGTCCCGATGTGGAACTGAATGAATGGTGGAAGAGGGAATGAAGGTTTGAGCTGATGTATTCAAGCAAAAACCCGTACTGGTCCCAGGTAAGGTTGATAGGGGGGTGTTGGCCTCTGTAATGTTGGTGGTATCTTGGGTGCCAAAGGACTGGAGTAATTAAGGGGGGAAGCGTTAATTGGTAACAAAGGTGGAATTGTGTTGGTCTCGATAGCAGGGGTGTCAATAATTTCAGGGTGGGTTGCAGTGTAAATGGACTCAGGCCCCGGGGATATTGGCGTTGATTGCCAAGGGGGAAGTGGTGCTGATGGTCTCAGGGGGGGTGTTGGTTTCTGGGGGGAATGGTGTTGATGGTCTCCGTGTCCTCAGGGGGGTATTGGTGTTGATATCCGGGGAGGTCATGGTGTTGATAGTCTCGGTGTTCTCAGGGGGGTGTTGGTTTCAGGGGGGAGAGTGACATTTTCAATATGTAATGATTTAACAAATGCTTGTTGCTCATGCAAAAACAAGTTTATCTTTCTGATGCAATTGTAAACTGCTCTGATAATAGCATAGACTTCTTCTTGGATTAGGTTAACTTGCTCTTGTGTTTCAATCGAGCCAAGTTTTGCCATATTATCACATATTATGTTCAAAATTGACTGTAGATCACTCTTATCTAGTTGTAAAGCTGCCATATTCACATTATCCAGTTTAAAACTCTCATCAACGACAGTGATCAGTTCACGAATTCTACAAATGTCATTCTTTAGGGCAACTTTGAAAAGCCCAGCACTTTGTCGTCTAGCTTTTTGTTAGATTGTTGCATTTACACTAACAAATACACTCCTAGCTTCTTGATAGCACCTTTTTACATTGTCTCTGTAAGTCCTAATGTCTTCACCATTAACTACACGGTGTTCAGCGTATTTTTCGTCAGATACAATAAGTTGGTATTCCTCATTTATCACGCAAAAATCATCAAATACTTTTTCAAGTTCGAACATTGAATCCTTTAAAATATCATATTCACAATCTCTGTTGTAGGCTCCGATCAGACGCCTCGCAGCGACAGTGACCGCCATTTTAGCCTTGCTTCTTTCTTGTGTTTTATCTTCAACATTCATGGCTGATTCCTGGATTTGTCTTCAAGCAATACACAAGTTTTGGGCTGCAAAACTCCTTTGTATTTAGGCTTCTTCACAATTCTGGAATGCCACAGCGAACGTTAGTGTTTTACTGTACTGGGATTGCCAGTAAATGTGGCCGAAAACAGGTTTCAACTCACTTTTAATTGTCAAAATGTATGGAAAATTACAAAATAGTAGATTTAGGTAAAACACTGTTTTCCTTCGCACGCCATATTTGCTCTTATGCGCATGCTCGAACTAAACGTAAATAAACATCGTCCAAAAGGCGATTGCAGAGAGATTGTACAACCCAATACATCTTGGTTAGATCCAATAATTGTATGAATTCACACTCGAATGTCCATCTGCCAATCTCTTGAAGTTCTTGAAAGAGTATTTATCAAGTGAGGTGTCAATGTCTTCCAGGATCAAACTGATTCTTTAAACTGTGCACTCTTGGTATAGACTGTTCATAGTAGCAAGTAATGACGGTTCCCTTGGCCAGGAAGTATTGCAAACTTCTTTGCGAAAGTATGGGATTTAAATACAAACACAACAATAATTATGAATATAAAGATAAACAACGTACTGTTGAAAGAAGATTGAAATGGACGGTACAAAAAGCTAGTATGGAAATACTGCTTACAACATGCACCCTTTCAATACAGTACGTTTACAAAGATATCGAAGATCAATAATAATTATGAAGTATATTAAAAGAATGTAATTTAAGTATAAAGATAAACAACGTACTGTTCAAAGAAGATTGAAATGGACGGTACAAAAAGCTAGTATGGAAATACTGCTTACAACATGTACCTTTTCAATACAGTACGTTTACAAAGATATCGGAGAGCAACAATAATTATGAAATATATTAATAAAAAGAATGTAATTTAAGTATAAAGATAAACAACGTACTGTTGAAAGAAGATTGAAATGGACGGTACAAAAAGCTAGTATGGAAATACTGCTTACAACATGCACCTTTTCAATACAGTACGTTTACAAAGATATCGAAGATCAACAGTAATTTTAATATTTAAAAAGTTCATTGAAAATGAATATATATAAAAATTGATGACATGAAAGCCGACAACCTCTAGGTGATCACCTTCTGTTACGACAGACTGCGTGCTTCTATCTTTCAAGAACTAGGTAACAATTTAGCGTTTTTTTCAATAAATTAATTCACCATTTCAATAAATGCACCGTTCTTTTGATGTTTTCTCAAAACATATATTCATCGGCCACGGTTTTTGGCAAATATATAAATGTAATCGAATACCGTCATTTACACTTGTTTCGAAATTGAAAATACACGAATTCTCTTACCACGGCTTATGGATCTATGACCACGCCATGAATTGTCCGGTGCAAAATCAATTAATAACATGCACTGAAATGGAGACGTTTTCTTTGATAGCGATGAAACTACCTGAAAAGACGAGGGCCAAGACTCTTCTTATATTTGATATAAAGATTTTTATTATGTTAATAATGCACTTTTTTGTAACGGATGAAAAGATGAAATGAACAAAATGTTATCGAAAAGAATCATTAACTTATTACGATGGAAAACGTTCATGCTTCATTATAAATTAAAAACATTGATAATTCATAATAAACTTTGTGGCAAATCATGTCAGCCAAAAATATGTCACGTGGAGTGACTTTATATCTGATAAAACTCATCTTCGTTAGTAGTCTATATATAATTGTTCATTTTTAAAAATATGTTATATAATTGCTCATCCTAATTAGTATTCATTTGTAGCCGTATTTTCAAGCTATTCAAAACACTCGTTGTCATTTTTATCAGTTACGTTAAATGTCATGTACGAATATTTAAGAATGTTCACTATTTCAGTGATCGACAACTTTGCATTTATATCTTATGGAATTTTCGCTGGAACGGAGGACTGTTGTCTTCGCGCTGGCGGTCGCGTCCACCGCAAATGAATATATCATATTTTATTACATTATCTTATCTTATCTCAGTGTGAATATATATTATTACTTGTATGTTGGAAAGGATCGTGTAAAATCCAATCTAAATAAGTTTTAGAGAATTTTACGTACACTTTTATGTATGTCGACCGACTTTCTGATTGATAATGCGCATTTCGCTATCACTGAGACACTGGAAGTCATGTCCGTTGACTTCCACTATGATGTAGTACAAGATCGGATGTGACAATTAGAGAATCATCTATATGCGATCATTTGACGAATATCTTCTGGACGGATGGCAACTGAAATTAATACGAATACCGGCGTGGTTATACGGGAGACAATTAATACCGAGAGTAAGCCGAATTTTTTCCGGAGGTTGACACTTGATATCGTGATTGCTTCGCTAGAACGGAGGACTCCGGCAAATGTCTACGCTGGTGAACGCGTCCACCAATAATTTACTTTTACATATTACCACATTTCTCAGATGTTGCGAGGCAGGATCATTCTGTGGCCAGCAGAATGATCTATATGCGCATATTTGTGTGTACCTGTATAATATCACGAATATGTTCTGGACGGATGGCGACCGAAATTAATACGAATTCTCGGCATGAACATATTCGTCCCGAAACAGTTTCCGAAAAAACATTTTATTGCCAGCCGGAACGATGCGACGACTTAACGAATATTTCCTGGACGGATGGCGACCGAAATTAATACGAATATCGACGGAATTATGGACAGGATATAATTACCGAAAGTTAGACGAACTTTTCGGAAGGTCGACGATTGCTTCGCCAGAACGGAGGACTACGGCAAATTGTCTTCGTGCTAGTGAAGGCGTCCACCGCAAATTAACATATATCACGTATCATTTAATATATTTTTTATATACTATCACATTTATGAATTAATATACATTACTTGTATGTCAGAAAGGATTGTGTAAAATCCAATCCAAGTAAGCTTTTCAGTTTTGTGGAAGCACCACGTATATTCATTTGGCTAAGCTTTCGACAAATATACGCGGTGGAGTACAAAACGAAGCTTCATATTCACTAACTTCAAAATTTGAAGAACATAATCTTATTTATTTTGCTATCACTGAGAGACTCGAGTTCATTTCTTATGGGGATGTGATGCAAGATCATTCTGGGGCCAGCAGAATTATCTACATTTTCATATTTATGTGCATATTCTTATATTTAATATCTATACTATTTGTTCATGTATATAATGTTGTGCACGATTTAGCGATTTATTATTACCGAGAGTAAGCCGAACTTTTTCCGGAGGTCGACATTTGGTGTCGTGATTGCTTCGCTGAAACGGAGGACTCCGGCAAAATGTCTTCGCGCTGGTGAACGCGTCCACCACAAATTAATGTATCACGTTCACATTTGCATATATTATTATGACATTATTATGAATATACATTATTATTACTATAAATATATGGTAAAGGATTCGCGTAAAATCCAATCTAAGTAGGTTTCATAGCTTTTATATACTGTTACTTTCCAAACTTGAATTCATGTTCATTTTTAAGTGATGATCGTTATGATGATGATCGCGTTGATGATATGATAATCGCGTCCATCTCGAAATGACATATTTTTTACATATTACCACATTCCTTAGAAGGTGCGAAGCAGGATCATTCTGTGGTCAGCAGAATCATCTATATATATGCGCATTTTCATATTTATGTCTATATTCTTATATTTAATATCTATACGATTTGTTCATGTATATAATGTTGTAAACGATTTATCGAATATCTTCTGAACGGATGGCGACCGAAATTAATACGAATATCGAACGTCGTTATTATGAACAGAATATAATTACCGAAAGTAAGCCGAACTTTTTCCGAATGTCGACACTTGCATTCATATCGTGAATGCTTCGCTGGAACGGAGGGCTCCGGCAAATTGTCTTTGCGCTGATGAACGCGTCCACAACAAGATGAACGCGTCCACAACAAATTAATGTATCACGTTCACATTTGCATATATTATTACATTATCTATGAATATGCATTATTACTATTACTAGGAGTTACTATCGCAAGGAAAATGCTGCCGACATGTACATGCAGGATGTACTACAACCAAAAAGTGTCTTTTTTAGTGCACGTTTCTACATCAATTACCTCGTACAATTGTATCTCACATCTCATCTTGTAAAAGTGCACTATAAACTCGGTGGTCACATGTGTATAAGCATGGAACATGTATTAACTGTAAACTAAAGGTTGTTCAAGCAGCAATAATAATCTTCTTGAACAAGAACTTCTATACAACATTCAAAGTCTGTTTAATCAGCATTTGAACTTTCGTTTAGCCTAGTGACTTATTTCAATACGTTGTGCCTTCCCTCATGTAAACAGCCCCTAATATGCCTGTTCAGGAGGTAAGAAAAGTGCAATTTGAATATCTGAAACACCTTGCACAATGTCAAAAGTCGGGTAAAATTTCTAATTCTACTTTCTTGGTGTGAGCAGTTTTATATGATTAAATACCTTCAATGCTTATAATTTCTTGCTTTTGTACATATAAAGCCTTAGTGTTACCTTACTCAGACTATTGTAGTGAGGTTTGGGGGTGCCTAAGTAAAACCCTCTCTGAAAAACTCCAAAAACTGCAAAACAGAGCCGGTAGGATAATAACCTTCTCCGATTATGACGTAAGATCAGCTGATATACTACACAGTCTTGGTTGGGAAACTCTTGACCAACGTCGTGCTAAACAGGTCGCAACAAGTATTTATAAAGCAGTGAATAATTTATATCCCAACGAGCTTAATACTAGTTTTGAACCTACCTCGCAAGTCCACTCTCACAATCTTAGAGGTAGTTCGCACAGTATGTTCACCCCTAGACCCAGAACGGAGGCTGGTAAAAGGAGCTTCGGCTACCGTGGGGCTGTGTTATGGAACGATCTTCCGGATGAAATAAGTCAGGCTTCAATATATCTTTTCAAAAATAAACTTTCTAACTTTCAAATTTAATACTAAGATTAAGTAGTTGTAAATAAAATAGGATTGTATATATGTTTAACTAATTTCTTTTGTTTTTGTATTTTTACATGGCTCCTTGGAAGAGCACTTTAGTGAAAGGACACCATGTTACCTATTTATGTATTTTTTAATAAACTTCATTGATACTGTCAGTGGCAAAGCTAGCCATAGCAACAAGGCCCTTGCTATGCAAGTTTTTAATGAATTGCATCATTCAAATAAATGCAGATTTATTAGCATATAGCACGTTCAAGCACGAGCATACTCAGTACTGAGTATAGTGCAATGTTTATATAAAAATACTAAGTCAGTTTTTGTTCCAATTATTGTTGTATTCCCACCTGCAGGGGCGTCACCCTATATGTCTTTGCCCTATGATATACATTATTAGTATTATAAATATATGGTAAAGGCTTCGCGTAAAATCCAATCTAAGTACGTTTTATAGCTTATATATACTGTTACTTTGCAAACTTGAATTCATGTTCATTTTTAAGTGATGATCGTTATGATTATCGCGTTGATGATTATCGCGTTGATGATTATCGCGTTGATGATTATCGCGTTGATGATTAATGCGTAAAAGCAAAATTGACTTTTATCACAAAGAGATAGGGGACTGTACATATTCAAATGATTTCAAAAAAATTTGGTCCCTTATAAATTCCCTTACTGGAAGGAATAACAAATCTTCCAGTATTACAGAAATATCTGTGAATGACAACAGCATTACCGATTCTATATTAATCGCTGAAAAGTTTAATGAATATTTTGTTAACATTGGCCCTAGCCTAGCTTCTGAAACTAGTGAAGAGCCTGAAGCTGGTGAAGAGCCTCTTACTCAACACACTACGAATAGCTACAATAATTCCAATCCCACAACAGATACGATATTCCATTTCCATCGTATTAATGTAGAAAACGTTTTTCTGGCATTAATGAACCTTAAGATAAACAAATCTACTGGCCTTGATAAAATTCCAGCCAATGTTCTCAGACTCTCTGCAGATATTATTGCCCCGTCATTAACATATATATTTAATTTATCACTTGACACTGGTATTTATGTGAATGACTGGAAACGAGCACGAGTAATTCCAATTTACAAATCTGAAGATCGACGGAAATGTGAAAATTATAGGCCAATTTCCATACTCCCCATTGTAAGTAAAGTTTTTGAGAGAGAGGTTTTTCGACAGCTTTATGGCTATCTTTCCAATAACTCATTACTTTCTAAATTCCAATCAGGGTTTAGACCTAAATACTCAACCCTGTCTGCGTTGATACAAATGTGTGATAATTTACTTAAAAACATGGATAGTGGTCAAATAAATTGTGTAGTCTTTTCTTGATGTTAGAAAAGCCTTCGACTCCATAAATCGTGAAATTCTGATTGATAAAATGCGTAATTTTTTCGGAGTGACAGGAAACCAACTAAGATGGTTCGAATCATACCTGAATAACAGATTTCAACAATATCTTATAAACGGACAACTATCGAGCCCAAAAAAGATAACATGCGGAGTTCCACAGGGGTCCATCCTTGGTCCTCTATTATTTTTATTATACATAAATGATATGCCTGACTCGTTAAGTCACTTAACTCCTTCACTCTATGCTGATGACACGGAAATTTATGCATCTTCTAATGACTGCGCCGACCTTGTCGACAAGGTAAATATTGATCTCGAAAACATACGCAAATGGATGATACACAATAAACTTCAAATCCACCCCAGTAAATCGAAACATATGTTCATTGGGTCTCCCTATAACCTTAAGAATAAAGTATCTGGTAATCCTATTTTAATTAATAATAAGCTAGTACCCAGGATTAATAAATATTCATGCCTTGGCGTGACTATGGACGAAAGGTTGTCTTGGGATAAACATATTGATTCAATCTGCTCTAAAGTTGGTGCCGGTATTGGTGCAATGAGACGTGTTAAACCTTTTGTACCTCTGTCGACAACCAAAATGCTATATAATGCTATTATGCAGCCTTATTTCGATTATTGCAGTTCGTTGTGGGATAATTGTGGAATTGGGCTCAAAGATAAGTTGCAAAAATACCAAAATCGTGCTGCAAGAGTAATTACTGGGGCAACTTACGATATTCGGTCATCTGAGTTACTCAATAATCTAAACTGGAAACCTCTAGAAGAAAGACGAAATTATCTTAAATCTATTTTCATCTATAAAGTTCTGAATGGCCACACCGCACCAAATCTTAAAGGAGCATTTCATTTTAATAATGAAAGACACAACACTTACAATCTTAGAAATAGGGATACTGATTTAGCACCACCTATGCCGAAAAAAGAATTCGGCAAGAGGTGCTTCAGTTATAATGGTGCCTTGCATTGGAATAATCTTCCCCATGAGGCAAAAATTGCTGAATCTCTAAGCTCTTTCAAGTCGATATTGAAACAAAGAATGAGTTGAAATTTGCTTGTGTATAATCGCGCAGATAAAATCAATTGTATTTATTTATTTTGTTATATTTTGTATTTCCTGTATATAGTTAACTTTTTGTAAATGGGTAATTTCACGCCCCTCATGGAAACCAGCCTTCCAACGGCTGTTGAGGCTAGCGTGGTCTAAATAAAGTTTTGTATGTATATATGTATCGCGTTGATGATTATCGCGTTGATGATTATCGCGTTGATGATTATCGCGTTGATGATGATCGCGTTGATGATGATCGCGTTGATGATGATCGCGTTGATGATGATCGCGTTGATGATGATCGCGTTGATGATCTCGAATTGACATATTTTTTACATATTACCACATTTCTTAGAAGGTGCGAAGCAGGATCATTCAGACCAGCATAATCATCTATATATATGCGCATTTGCATATTTATGTCTATATTCTTATATTTAATATCTATGCGATTTGTTCATGTATATAATGTTGTAAACGATTTATCGAATATCTTCTGAATGGATGGCGACCGAAATTAATACGAATATCGACGTCGCTATTATGGACAGAATATTATTACCGAAAGTAAGCCGATCTTTTTCCGAATGTCGACACACTTGCATTCGTGTCGTGAATGCTTCGCTGGAACGGAGGACTCCGGCAAATTGTCTTTGCGCTGATGAACGCATCCACAACAAGATGAACGCGTCCACAACAAATTAATGTATCACGTTCACATTTGCATATATTATTACATTATCTATGAATATGCATTATTACTATTACTAGGAGTTACTATCGCAAGGAAAATGCTGCCGACATGTACATGCAGGATGTACTACAACCAAAAAGTGCACGTTTCTACATCAATTACCTCGTACAATTGTATCTCACATCTCATCTTGTAAAAGTGCACTATAAAGTATAAACTCGGTGGTCACATGTGTATAAGCATGGAACATGTATTAACTGTAAACTAGAGGTTGTTCAAGCAGCAATAATAATCTTCTTGAACAAGAACTTCTATACAACATTCAAAGTCTGTTTAATCAGCATTTGAACTTTCGTTTAGCCTAGTGACTTATTTCAATACGTTGTGCCTTCCCTCATGTAAACAGCCCCTAATATGCCTGTTCAGGAGGTAAGAAAAGTGCACTTTGAATATCTGAAACACCTTGCACAATGTCAGAAGTCGGGTAAAATTTCTAATTCTACTTTCTTGGTGTGAGCAGTTTTATATGATTAAATACCTTCAATGCTTATAATTTCTTGCTTTTGTACATATAATTATAATACTGTCAGTGGCAAAGCTAGCCATAGCAACAAGGCCCTTGCTATGCAAGTTTTTAATGAATTGCATCATTCAAATAAATGCAGGTTTATTAGCATATAGCACGTTCAAGCACGAGCATGCTCAGTATCGAGTATAGTGCATTGTTTATATAAAAATATTAAGTCAGTTTTTGTTCCAATTATTGTTGTATTCCCACCTTCAGGGCCGTCACCTATATGTCTTTGCCCTATGAATATACATTATTACTATTATAAATATATGGTAAAGGATTCGCGTAAAATCCAATCTAAGTACGTTTTATAGCTTATATATACTGTTACTTTGCAAACTTGAATTTATGTTCATTTTTAAGTGATGATCGTTATGATTATCGCGTTGATGATGATCGCGTTGATGATGATCGCGTTGATGATGATCGCGTTGACGATGATCGCAATGACGATGATCGCAATGACGATGATCGCGTTGATGATTATCGCGTTGATGATGATCGCGTTGATGATGATCGCGTTGATGATGATCGCGTTGATGATGTTGATGATGATCGCGTTGATGATCTCGAATTGACATATTTTTTACATATTACCACATTTCTTAGAAGGTGCGAAGCAGGAACATTCAGACCAGCATAATCATCTATATATATGCGCATTTGCATATTTATGTCTATATTCTTATATTTAATATCTATACGATTTGTTCATGTATATAATGTTGTAAACGATTTATCGAATATCTTCTGAACGGATGGCGACCGAAATTAATACGAATATCGACGTCGCTATTATGGACAGAATATTATTACCGAAAGTAAGCCGATCTTTTTCCGAATGTCGACACTTGCATTCGTGTCGTGAATGCTTCGCTGGAACGGAGGACTCCGGCAAATTTTCTTTGCGCTGATGAACGCATCCACAACAAGATGAACGCGTCCACAACAAATTAATGTATCACGTTCACATTTGCATATATTATTACATTATCTATGAATATGCATTATTACTATTACTAGGAGTTACTATCGCAAGGAAAATGCTGCCGATATGTACATGCAGGATGTACTACAACCAAAAAGTGTCTTTTTTAGTGCACGTTTCTACATCAATTACCTCGTACAATTGTATCTCACGTCTCATCTTGTAAAAGTGCACTATAAAGTATAAACTCGGTGGTCACATGTGTATAAGCATGGAACATGTATTAACTGTAAACTAAAGGTTGTTCAAGCAGCAATAATAATCTTCTTGAACAAGAACTTCTATACAACATTCAAAGTCTGTTTAATCAGCATTTGAACTTTCGTTTAGCCTAGTGACTTATTTCAATACGTTGTGCCTTCCCTCATGTAAACAGCCCCTAATATGCCTGTTCAGGAGGTAAGAAAAGTGCAATTTGAATATCTGAAATACCTTGCACAATGTCAAAAGTCGGGTAAAATTTCTAATTCTACTTTCTTGGTGTGAGCAGTTTTATATGATTAAATACCTTCAATGCTTATAATTTCTTGCTTTTGTACATATAATTATAATACTGTCAGTGGCAAAGCTAGCCATAGCAACAAGGCCCTTGCTATTCAAGTTTTTAATGAATTGCATCATTCAAATAAATGCAGGTTTATTAGCATATAGCACGTTCAAGCACGAGCATGCTCAGTACTGAGTATAGTGCAATGTTTATATAAAAATACTAAGTCAGTTTTTGTTCCAATTATTGTTGTATTCCCACCTTCAGGGCCGTCACCTATATGTCTTTGCCCTATGAATATACATTATTACTATTATAAATATATGGTAAAGGATTCGCGTAAAATCCAATCTAAGTACGTTTTATAGCTTATATATACTGTTACTTTGCAAACTTGAATTTATGTTCATTTTTAAGTGATGATCGTTATGATTATCGCGTTGATGATGATCGCGTTGATGATGATCGCGTTGACGATGATCGCAATGACGATGATCGCAATGACGATGATCGCGTTGATGATTATCGCGTTGATGATGATCGCGTTGACGATGATCGCAATGACGATGATCGCAATGACGATGATCGCGTTGATGATGATCGCGTTGATGATGATCGCGTTGATGATGATCGCGTTGATGATGATCGCGTTGATGATGATCGCGTCCATCTCGAATTGACATATTTTTTACATATTACCACATTTCTTAGAAGGTGCGAAGCAGGATCATTCAGACCAGCATAATCATCTATATATATGCGCATTTGCATATTTATGTCTATATTCTTATATTTAATATCTATACGATTTGTTCATGTATATAATGTTGTAAACGATTTATCGAATATCTTCTGAACGGATGGCGACCGAAATTAATACGAATATCGACGTCGCTATTATGGACAGAATATAATTACCGAAAGTAAGCCGATCTTTTTCCGAATGTCGACACTTGCATTCGTGTCGTGAATGCTTCGCGGCAAATTGTATCACGTTCACAATTAATGTATCACGTTACATTTGCATATATTATTACATTATCCATGAATATATATTATTACCATTATAAATATATGGTAAAGGATTCGCGTAAAATCCAATCTAAGTACGTTTTATAGCTTTTATATACTGTTACTTTGCAAACTTGAATTCATGTTCATTTTTAAGTGATGATCGTTATTATGATCGCGATGATGATGATGACGTCCATCTCGAATTGACATATTTTTTACAAATTACCACATTTCTTAGAAGGTGCGAAGCAGGATCATTCTGTGGCCAGCAGAATCATCTATATGCGCATATTTATGTGTACCTGTATAATATCACGAATATGTTCTGGACGGATGGCGACCGAAATTAATACGAATTCTCGGCATGAACAACGCTATTCGTCCCGAAACAGTTTCCGAAAAAACATTTTATTGCCAGCCGGATCGATGCGACGGTATAACGAATATTTTCTGGACGAGTGGCAACCGAAATTAATACGAATATCGACGGAATTATGGACAGGATACAATTACCGAAAGTTAGACGAACTTTTCGGAAGGTCGACGATTGCTTCGCTGGAACGGAGGACTACGGCAAATTGTCTTCGTGCTAGTGAAGGCGTCCACCGCAAATTAACATATATCACGTATCATTTAATATATTTTTTATATACTATCGCATTTATGAATTAATATATATTGCTTGTATGTCAGAAAGGATTGTGTAAAATCCAATCCAAGTAAGCTTTTCAGTTTTGTGGAAACACCACGTATATTCATTTGGCTAAGCTTTCGACAAATATACGCGGTGGAGTACAAAACGAAGCTTCATATTCACTAACTTCAAAATTTGAAGAACATAATCTTATTTATTTTGCTATCACTGAGACTCTCGAGTTCATTTCTTATGGAGATGTGATGCAAGATCATTCTGGGGCCAGCAGAACCATCTATATTTTCATATTTATGTGCATGTATATTCTTATATGTAATATCTATACTATTTGTTCATCTATATAATGTTGTAAACGATTCATCGAATATCTTCCGAACGGATGGCAACCGAAATTAATACGAATATCGACGTCGTTATTATGAACAGAATATTATTACCGAGAGTAAGCCGAACTTTTCCGGAGGTCGACATTTGGTGCCGGTGATTGCTTCGCTGAAACGGAGGACTCCGGCAAAATGTCTTCGCGCTGGTGAACGCGTGCATCTCGAATCGACATATTTTTTACATATTACCACATTTCTTAGAAGGTGCGAAGCAGGATCATTCTGTGGCCAGCAGAATGATCTATATGCGCATATTTGTGTCTCAATCCAAACCAGCTATTCATTCTGCCCCTAAGAAAGTTCTATATTTCTCTCTTCCATATACTGGCGCTCACTCAAATTCGCACCCAAATCTCCCGTGTTTGTTCCTCGGCCTTCCATCTTAATATTAGATTCGTTTTTCGTCCAACTCTACGTTTGTCTCAACTCTTCACCTTTAAGGACAAAATTCCTAACGCTTTAAGATCTTGTGTTGTGTATTCCTTCACGTGTCGTTGCTGTTCCGCAACGTATTTGGGCCAAACGATCCGTCACTTCCACACACGTGTTTCTGAACATTTGGGTGTTTCTCCTCTAACATGCAGTAAAAGCAGCAATCCGACCATGTTTAGTATCCTATCCCATCTTGATAGCACTGGTCACTCCGCCTCTCTTAATGATTTTAAGATTATTTCTTGTTGCTCTTCTCCAGACGAACTCCTCATTCATTAGCTTTCAAATAGATATTTTAAATTATATTTTTGTTATGACTCGTTTACGTGTTTTATGCTGGGCATTAATATTTATCCTAAGATTACGATTTCCGCCTGGTTCATCTATCGCATGTAGAATATGACGAATATGTTCTGGACGGATGGCGACCGAAATTAATACGAATTCTCTGCATGAACCGCTATTCGTCCGGAAACCGTTTCCAAAAAAAAACATTTTATTGCCAGCCGGAACGATGCAACGGTTTAACGAATATTTTCTGGACGAGCGGCAACCGAAATTAATACGAATATCGACGGAATTATGGACAGGATATAATTACCGAAAGTTAAACGAACTTTTCGGAAGGTCGACGATTGCTTCGCTGGAACGGAGGACTACGGCAAATTGTCTTCGTGCTAGTGAAGGCGTCCACCGCAAATTAACATATATCACGTATCATTTAATATATTTTTTATATACTATCACATTTATGAATTAATGTCAGAATTCCAATCCAAGTAAACTTTTTAATTTTGCGGAAACACCGCGTATATTCATTTGGCTAAGCTTTCGACAAATATACGCGGTGGACTACGAAACAAAGCTTCAATTTCAAAATTTAAAAAACATAATCTTATTTATTTTGCTATCATGCACTGAGAGACTCGAGTTCATTTCTTATGAGATGTGGTACAAGATCATTCTGTGGCCAGCAGAATCATCTATATATATATATATATGCGCATTTTCTCGCATTTTCATATTTATGTGTATATTCTTACATTTAATATCTGTACTATTTGTTCATGTATACGATGTTGCCGATAAGCCGAACTTTTTCCGAATGTCGACACTTGCATTCGTGTCGTGAATGCTTCCGGCAAATTGTATCACGTTCACAATTAATGTATCACGTTGACATTTGCATATATTATTACATTATCTATGAATATACATTATAAATATATGGTGAAGGATTCGCGTAAAATCCAATCTAAGTACGTTTTATAGCTTTTATATACTGTTACTTTGCAAACTTGAATTCATGTTCATTTTTAAGTGAACTTTCTGCATGATGTGTTCAAACCATTATACGACTGTAGACGTCGGCAAAATACAATGAAGACTTTCGTCTGAATGGATAGCAACCAAAATTAATATGAATATATATCGACTAATTCAATGATCTTCAAAACCTCGATAATTCATGAAGAAAACACAAAGAAAAATCATAAGCGTGTGGTATCTTTATATGTGATAGAGATCTCCCTTGATTTACATATAAACTTTAATCATAATGAACCGATATTTTGGCAAAATCAAAGTGAAATGTCAAAGTAAAATTGAATGCAAGCAGATTTTAATGTGAAGCATAGCAGTTGAAATGGACTCTGAAGAATAAAGAAAATGATTTGCTAGAAAAAAACATTCGTGCCTATAGGCCTTGCAATTCGACTCAAAGGGAACATTCAGCCATGGTAATACAACAGAATATCAATATTTATGCACATAAACATACACAACAACATTTTTTTTTATGTTTTAAATTTTTATATATTTTTTTGTACTTTTTAAATTTTTTAAATTACATCTATGATGCTGCTAATTGCAGACAAACACACAACTTTTTTTTTGGTTATTTTTAAATTTTTATATTTTTTTTTGTACTTTTTATTTTTTAAAATTACATCTATGATGCTGCTAATTGCAGACAAACACACAACTTTTTTTTTGGTTATTTTTAAATTTATATATATTTTTTGTACTTTTTATTTTTTAAAATTACATCTATGATGCTGCTATAAATGCAGACGAACACACAAGCTTATAGGCACACATTTATAAATTAAATTTTTAATCTTCAATCTGCCATGCTTATAAAATGCAGATAGAAGCAAATATTTACAGATCCATGGTTGCTGAAGAACAGACACACATGCAAATACAAGGAATCCTTGGAAAATCATGGCCTACTGGCGCACGTTATGCTAATCACATTGTTTAATGAATTATATTTCTATGCAAATCAATATTGTCAATATTCGCGTCAATTTCCGACTGCGAGCTTCACACATTGCGATACAAAATTGAAGACAGCAAACATTTTGTGTCTTCAAACATTCAATGTACTTTCAAAATCCTCTATACACGGAGACTCCAGAGAATAGTAAATGCAAGGGTCACATATAAAGTAAACAGGATCGGAGCATTTCCGACGTGAACTATAAGGAAACAGATGTGTAGTGCGAGACAGGCGAGACATCGCGATTGCATTGTGAGCGAAGAATGAGGCGAATATGGCACAAGTTCTTTGCCAGCTTTAAGACCTGAAATTGAGTTGAATGAAAAATGCTCAATTCAAGTGCTTTATGAAACAATGTTAAAATGGAATTTCTGAATATGAATTTCAAACATTTCTTCAGACCTAATTAGGAGCAACCGCGAAAGATGCAGACCATTTGCCCTGCGATTCCAGTGCAGCGCTCTTAATCAAATAAGTTCATTAAGATATTTACGAGTCAGTAACGGCTACGGTATTCAACGTCAACTGAACGATCCTGACAGACCACCGATCCGGCCACCACACTTTCCGGAAACTTCGACGAGAATTGTTGTTGTCGACGCCCAATTCTATTGGGCCACAATGTTCGTTAAGATACATTGGAGAGCAGACGGTAGTTATAGAAACATAGCTCAACGAATACATGGAATATGAATAATCAATCTAATATTTGCGTTTATGAACTCAATCATTCATTAAGAAGAAAACACAAAAGAAATAATGATCGTGAAGGAGTTTTTATATCGGATACAAAATCATGCGAATGATAAAAATATTCATTTATTTTGAATGGTACGAGATAATAGAAAAATACACGAAAAATCAAATAGAACCCATTTGCAACATTCGCGGCCGTGTTGTATCAGGTATACTAATTCTCGCCTTCGGCTCGAAGTTCGTATATTCGATACAACACGCTCGCGAATGTTGTAAATGGTACGAGATAATAGAAAAATACACGAAAAAGCAAATAGAATCCATTTGCAACATTCGCGGCCGTGTTGTATCAGGTATACTAACTCTCGCCTTCGGCTCGAAGTTCGTATATTCGATACAACACGCTCGCGAATGTTGTAAATGGTACGAGATAATAGAAAAATACACGAAAAAGCAAATAGAATCCATTTGCAACATTCGCGGCCGTGTTGTATCAGGTATACTAATTCTCGCCTTCGGCTCGAAGTTCGTATATTCGATACAACACGCTCGCGAATGTTGTAAATGGTACGAGATAATAGAAAAATACATGAAAAAACAAATAGAATCCATTTGCAACATTCGCGGCCGTGTTGTATCAGGTATACTAATTCTCGCCTTCGGCTCGAAGTTCGTATATCTCATACAACACGCTCGCGAATGTTGGAAATGGTACAACAAAGGAGCAAATAGAAAACTAATTTTATTTCTAGTATTTCTAAACTAGTGCGCATTTTAGCGACAGATCTTTTTTTATAACTGTATATTTCAGAGCCGTTTCGATTCATCTTGTAAGGGAGATATTTACAACATCTTGCCAAGATGAATTGAAACGGATTCGAAATATATAGTTTTTAAAATAGATATGTTGTTAAAATGCGCACTGTTTTCGCAACAAAATTAGTTTTATATTTGCTACAAAAAGAGCGCTGCACTGGAATCGCAGGGCGACAGGTTTGATTCCTACCAAACGATCTATAATTGCATTTTTCACAATTGTTCCTGGTTAAGTCTGAACAAATGTACAAAATTCACACTCGAGAAAATTCCTTGAATATTAGTTCAATTTGAGTTTGATTATTTTCATATTTTCAATATTTATTTTCATATTTTGAATATTTTTGAGCAGATCAGTGACTTCGACCTGGATGTTACCGAAGTGCCGAATGGGTGTGCATTCCGAATTTCTACAAGAGACTCTTTTTTAAACCGAAAGGTAGACTTCTTTTTAAACCGAAAGGTAGACTTCTTCGAGAAGTCTACACGCGCGTTTGTGCCGTATGATTGTCTTTCACCCGCCCTGTTAATTCGAGGGAGTTAATTTAACTCCAAAGTTGAAGTTATTTTGAACCACATTTTACTCCAAATTTGAAGGTCAATGGACCTTTCACCTTTTGACTAAAATTTAGATCTCAACAAGTCTATATAAACAAAAATTTTATCACAGCTTGAAAGAGCATCACAAAACTGGTAATATTCCAAAGTTGCGTTGCTAAATGTTGTAAAATGCGGATAATATAATAGCCTTGCGAAGTTTGCAATTTTCAGTCATTTTAGATTACAAACTTGTAATAGAAAATGACTGAAAATTGCAAACTTCGCAAGGCTATATTATCCGCATTTTACAACATTTCGCAACGAAACTTTGGAATAATACTAATTTTGTGATGCTCTTTCAAGCTGCGATAAAATTTTTGTCTAGACTTTGTTGAGATCTTTTATTCAAAAGGTGAAAAGTCCATTTGGTTCAAAATAACTCTACTGGGAGTTAAATTAACTTCATGAATTAACAGGGCCGTTTCGCAGAAGGAATCACCAATTCATTCCCGGATCTGGAGGAACGACTCAGTAGGTACTCAAGTTTTATCAGTGCCGAATGTAGGAATTTCTATAGTTGTTTTTCTCAGTATTTAGTTTTACAAATTTTGCCATTAGAATTGATAAATATAGTAGAGACCTTTTCTCATTTTTTCGTTAGTTTCCATAGCAACGATTGTTGTTGGAAGAACGAAGAAATGAAAAGAGATGAAAAAATAACGTTTTTACTATCTTTTTAGTATAGCTTCTTAGGATTTGAAGAGTGTGGGAATCATATTTTAGGGTTAAGCGAATAGGGTTTATAGAAGAACTCCGAACCCGCGGAGCGTCACCAACACCTGGGACATGGACTGTGTTGCTTGGATGGCTGATATGATCAACGACAACGACTTTATTGGGCAAGAAGAACGATGGTACGAGGACATTGCAGGTCATATTTCCATGAATTGTGTAACGAGGTAAATACCCCCGGGCATGTGAACATTCAAGGAACTTTAGTTATAAAATAACATGTATATATAACGCGTGTTCCGATCGTTCGAAACTACGGCGGTGTTGTTATTTTATAAAACAATTACTTTATGGTTTCCGTGTTTGAATGGCCCGATCCAAACACTTGGGAATGTTGCTCGAGTTAAGAAAAGCGCGCAAAATCACTCGCCTTCGACTCGTGCTTTCGTGCGCTTTTCTTAACTCTCGCAACATTCCCGCGTGTTTGGATCAGGCCATCCAAGCCCGGAAACCATAAAGTAATTGTATAATAACATGAAGTTACAAGTGCGCAACTTAACAGAAAAGAAAAAACCGGACAGTGGTGGCGATATGATCAGTAAATTGTCGTCCACGATAAAAATTGCCATAACGAGTATTTTAAACATTTTCAGGGTTATGTCAACGATGCGATATAGCACTCCTATGGAATGCTTCAAAGCATCGTTGACATAACCCTGAAAATGTTTAAATAGTAAAATATTGTCGCTACCTGAAACTGGCATAGACCGAGATTTATGTGATGTTTTTCCAAAATAATCAATTAACAACTCAATTCAACTCTTTTCAATTAACAACTCAATTCAAGTTTAATTCTTTTCAGATTGACAATAACTACAGATCACGATGCTGCCGAGCTAGGACAAAATAGAATATAGAAAACAAAACAAAAAGTCTATGCTAGGTTCAGGTAGCGACGATAATAGGAAAGCCGTGGATTGATGGAGATTCAACTGTTCGTGAAAAAAATTCAGACAGTTGAATTTCTATCAATTTGCGGCTTTCCTATTATCAAAGACGACGAATTGTTGCACAACATACCAGGCGTACGATTTTTTATTTCGGCCATCACTGCGAGGAGACGAATTCTCCGAGACGAGTTATATTTATTTATTTATCAAGTTATATTTAAAAAAAATTCAATAAAAAATCAGGTTCATTTGTCATAAATTTCTCGAAAATTAAGCCATTTAAAGAAAGGAAAGAAGAGAATCAGTTCCGAAGTATTATGCTGTGGCCAAAAATGGCGAGAGAATAACACTTCTGGAATGGATTCCATTCCATAAAATTTACAGCGAAGGTAGTCAGACGACATTAAATTAAAGACATATCACAAACAGCCAGATTCTTCGTTCTATTAAATTGCACATTTAAAACTTCATGTTATTAAAAGTTTCTTGAAAGTTCACATGGAACGTTCATTTTGTTTCTTGAAGTCACTTGTATCAGACATTTTTTCACCTAACTCAATTTTGGGTCTTAAAGCTGACAAAGAACTCGTGCCCTTCGTCTCATTCTCCTCACACAATGGAACCACTATATCTCGCGCAATGCCTCACAACACATTATGTTTCTATTTAGTTCACGCGTTGGAAATTATCGCTTGCCGTTTGGTATATGGCGTTATATATTGCATATACCATAGCCTATAGGTTTGGTTGTATAAAATATATGACGAAAGCGATCTCCACTCATGATAACATCGGAGAAGCTCAGTTGGACGTTCTCGGAAAACGAACACTTAATTGTTGTACGATTGCTCCATATTACTCATTAATAATTCATAAACTTTGTGGAAAATCATGTCAGCCATAATATGTCACGTGGAGTGACTTTATATCTGATAAAGCATGCGCATTATATAATGGTTCATCCTAATTAGTATTCTTTTGTAATGTGTTTTATTAGCGAGCGCGAGTTTCTGATAAAACACTCCTACTTGTGTTTTAAATAGTACATTTAAACTGATAATGAATGAATGTTTTATTATATGGAGTGTATTATTTTAAGTCATTGATATGGAATTCTGACTGTCGCATCACATATATTTATCGAAAGCTTTCCCAAATAAATATACGTTACTAAATTTTGTACGAAATGCAGTCTAAATATGTCGTGTATCTTGTATTTGCTTTTGTCCGAGATATTGCGCCACGTATATTTATCGAAAGCTTTGCCAAATAAATATACGTGTTGTTGATTGGTGGACTACAAAACAAAGCTTTTGAAAACGCAATCTTATTTCTTTCATTTCATTGCCAGCTGAATACCGCGAGTTAACGAACATCTTGTGAACGGATGGCAACCGAAATTAATACGAGTATCGGCGTGGTTATAAACAGAATGTAAGTACTAAATATACTAAAAGTAAGTCGACATTTGTAGAATTTTGGCAAGACTGAGTCTCAAAATTAAATTATGTATGTTGTGTGTAAATCCGATTACTAAATTATTAGATATTGATTACATTGCTATATATATATATATATATACTTGCAACAAAGGCATTGGTATAAGTGCATTGAACTATGACGAAATTAATACTATTACGATTTCTGAAGCGCTAAATGCAAATAGTATAATTTGATGATGATAGACACCAAATATGATTCGGCTTCTTTTTCATTAATTTGCATTAACGTTTTCCTGGAATTTCTCAGTCAACTTATTTTTAAATTAAACAATTTTTGTAAACGGTTAAAATCTTTGCGTTTCATGACACAAGCGACATGTTTTTAGGGTTTTGATGAACGGGCATTTCAAGCAAAATCTCCGCACACATTTTGGCGTATATAGGCAGGAAAATGAAATAATACGTTAAAAAGTAAAAAGTGCAAACAACCGAATTTCAAAATAAAGCACTGCTTCCGAAGATGATCACGTACTAGGCGTTTAAGGTTTCATATTGAAGAGGAAACTAGCACATGTATGCACACACAGAAACACATATGTGGAAATAATTAAAAAAAAGAATAATAAAAGACTTGCCCAAGGGAACATTGATATCTGCCTTTCTCGATATGCTCTTGCTTTATCACCCAGGATGAAATATGCCACAATTGACGAAGGGCCTTCGCTCGAAACGTCGAGTTCCTGCGTATTTTTTAAGGTAGCATTTTCACAATCTACTCAGCTGCTGGAGAATCTTCCGACTCAGATACCCCCCGACAGCGTCGTTTTCGTGGAGGCATCGTAGAAATAGACGAGCCGGAAAATTCACCAGCAGCAGCATCATCATCATCATCATCATCATCATCATCACCATCACCATCTTGATCACCATCACGATCATCATCATCTTGATCATCATTATCATCATCATCATCATCATCATCATCGTGGGGCTGGAGGTTAAGTGTTCTAAAAAGAAATGAAGAGATTTTCACTACTTTACCATGTACTTTTCTGTTCATTTACTCCAATTCAAAAGCCGGTTTTCCACCGGCGAATTTCTTCGAGCGAAGCGAATTTTCTATTGTTTAAATTGAAAAGAATTTATTAAAAATCTAATTAGTTCCAGCCGAGAGCCCATAATACAAAAGATTCGCGCGAACAACTGAAATTCGCTAGTGGAAAACCGGCTAAACTGAGGTAGGCTCGGGTTGTCGACACTCGCAACAACTGAATGAAGGTGTTAATTCTGCCATGAAGAAATTGTTCACATCATTTCTGCTAAGTAAACGTACGAGGAAATAATTTAATACCTTTCAACATCCACCAGCTGCAGTTCGCAAACTTCTCTGGGAAGTGCATGTTCGACTGGAAAGAAAAACAAAAAAGAAAATTTAATATTATGCCACGTAGAAACGCCCCACGTAGAAACAACTTTTACTTTCATAGTCATTAAGACCACGTTCACATTATATGTCGCAGCGAAAACGTCACTTTCTCCGCAGTTTTTAAACGGAGCGAGATAAGTACAGAGCGCTTGGCGGCTTCGCTTCAACACAAATGCCGTTGTACTTTTCTGTACCACTTGCAAATCGAGCATCTCAAGTCTCAAAACAACAAATTTGTATGCTTTTCGTTTAAATGTCGTTGATCTTTTTGACATTTTTCGGGTTTACGCGAGTGTAATTTCATTTGTAAACAAACTGTAGCAAGATATTGGTTATGTTGGTGCAATGTACTCAAAGATGAATAATATGCTTGTGTGATGTTACTCTGAGTGTATATCCACACCTGGCAGGCCGGTGTGAATATACACTCAAAGTAACACCACAGAAGCAAACTGGACCAAAATACAATACAGTATTACATCAGAAATTTCAGCGCTAAATTGCTAATATATGATAATCATACGATATTATGCAATCAAAAACAATTATGCATTAATAAAACTTATGTCGAACTATGTGGCATAATTATAATACATGATTTGCCTAATTTGTACAGTGACTCAGTCTCAAACAAAATTTGTCAATCGATTTAAACAAGAAAAGAGATCAACTGAGCAAAAGAATATATTCTTCAGTGCAGGGGAAGATAAAAATTAGTGAACAGCAGCGTGGAAATTTTGGTACTCAAATTATTACCTGCCATGTCCTCGTACCATCGTTCTTCTTGCCCAATAAAGTCGATGTTGTCGTTGATCATATCAGCCATCCAAGCAACACAGTCCATAGCATGGTCATATATCCACTGATAAGCCCCAGGTGTTGGTGACGGAAGGGCCTTGGTTTGGTAAACGCTACACCTTCTGTAGATACGTTGGTTTTGGTCGCCGTAATTAGTTAATCTGTTCGTTGTTATGTAGAAAGGGCAGTCGAACAAAACTTCTTGGTCGGGATCACATCCCACTTCGAGCACAGCTCGAATGGTCCTCGGGGTCATTGCCGTCAAATGGTTGGCAATGACCAATTCTGTTTCATTCCGTATCATACCGGCTGAGAATTGCCCCCCGGACGCGACAGAAACGATCATCTCAACCGGCATGATACGGCGAAAAATGGCCGACCAAGAAGTCTTCCCAGAGTTCTTGGGTCCAAGGAAAACCAGTTTTCGGACTTTTTCTGGCATTCGTTTAGCCACAAGGCATCGATACAACTTGTGGAGCACCTTGACGCGTTCCTCCAGATCGGGGAATGAATTGATGATTCCTTCTGCGAAACGGCCAGGATTAGGCGGTGGAAGACAATCATACGGCACAAACGCGCGTGAAGACTTTCCACGAAAGTCTTCCTTTCGAAATACGAAAAATTCTCTTGTAGAAATTCGGAATGCACACCCATTCGACACTTCGATAACATCCAGGTCGAAGTCACTGATCTGCTGTACCACCTGACAGGTATCTTCTGACAGGATTCGTTGTAGCTTTGATAGATTTCTCAAAATTTTCTCCCGGACAGCATCGTTACCAAGCATGGTATTGAGGTAATCTTTTACAGGCATTGCCTTTACAAAAGTAATTTCCGATGCTGCCGGTCTTGCATAAATGTATCCCTGTAAAAAGTAAAAAGGACATTTTTAGGATAATATATAGCAGTGTATCTTCACATGTAAACTGTAAATCTCGATTAATTCATTATTATTATTTTCACTGTCACTATTATATAAAGTATAGGAGGGTGTTTGTGTTTTTTTTTTCTTAAGGGTTCAAATTTTATTGACCTCG